CAATTACCCTAATGTCCGACAAATTTTTCTCAATTTAGACTACTTGTCCCCCCTGAGCCCCGAAAATCGTTGGCAGACCTATTAATAATGTTATAAATGCACTTTTAATGCACTTAAATTAATGATATTATCATAATGTCAACTCAACTATGTACTTATTCATTTGATTTATTAATTACATTTAATGTTTACACTCTATGGAATTAAGTCTATGCTATTAAATAAAATGTGGACTTATTATATAAAACAACGACAATTATTACAATGAGTAATATAAGATTAAGATTTTTATAAAACGTGGTTGTATTGGTTTACTATGAGAATCTAGAATTACTTATAGAAATCATTGTCGCCATTTTGTTTAATAAATACATATCAAATTATAAATCACAATATTAACAATAGTACACTATTATAATATATAATAATAATATACTAGTTAATACTATAGTAATAGAACAATATATTCAAAATAATATCTTAAAATGTTAAAATATTCATTTCATTGGATTTCTATTAAACTTTTTAAAAAGTTAACAAATGTTTAACGAAACTGTTGCCTTGTTTTCCATCACTAGACATTACATTACATTGTAGTGTTGCCAACCCTCCAGTTTTTGCCTCAAGTCTCCAGGAATCGGGTGTTCGACTCAGACTTCAGTTTGAGGTCTGCCCTGGATATGGGGAACTCCAGGAAAAAATTCATAACACTTTAAACATGTTTCTTATAAGATTATATCACTTTTGTATAATAAATAGTTACTCTTGATACTCTAAACTAAATAATTTTACTACAGAGTTAAATTAATAACTAATAGTTTTAATGAGACATTTATCCATTATTTTAAACCTAAAAATTATACTTAATGAAATTATAAGATTACAATGTATTGATAAAATAGAAATGTTAACAAATAAATAATTTAATAATAATGCTATAGTATAGTTAAAATAATATAAACAGAACATAATGTAGTCCGAGTGATAAAAATAATTTAATATCACTATTTAATATAACAAATGATAGCATAAAAACATAAAATATTCTAAATTATAAAAGTTTCAGATCTATTTTACTATAGTTTTCAATAAATATTAAAAATTTAAAAGGGTTAATTTAGTAAACAATTATTAAAAATGAACTTTTATTACATTACAACTTAATTAAATTACAATTAATTTAATTTATATAAATTCACTTGTTTCGAATTAATACATTAAAATCTTCATAAATAAATATTTTCTGTTAATTTAAATTAATAAACTATTTCTCCAGGATTCTCCAGGAAATTGGGGTTGAATTTATGTAAATCTCCAGGGTGAAAATTCTTAGAGTTGGCAACACTACTAGACATAGGAGTAGGGAGGCAAACAAAATAACTAATGTCTTAATAACTCATGATAAACTGTGATAAATAACTTTCAATTATTAAATTCTTTATAAACTAAAGTATATTAACCAAACAAATACTGTATTGAAATACAAAATGAATTTACTAAATTACTTGTTAATTAATTATGTAACAAAACACACATTNAACCTATGATAGTCTTACCACTATTTACCGATCAATACGATAACGCACAGAGAATTCAAGAGAAAGGGTTTGGGATTAGACTCAATCCCTACGAGTGCTCTGAAAATGAATTATTGGATTCAATCGACAGACTACTAAATGACAAAATATTGGCTCAAAAGTTGGCTAAAGTATCGCAAAGAATTCAAAGCGAAAAGAATATCGAAAAAATCGTCAAAATTGTCGATAAAATAGTTCAATATAAATAGTTTATATCAATTAAAACGTGATTTAATTGTTTTTTGTTTTAATTAAATTTATTATTTACTTTAACTATAGGAATACTTTGACAATTATTGTATTACAACCAGTAAAAATACATGTTATAGACTATTGAAATGTAGTGAAATAATGGGTGACAAGTGTGTTAACAATAAAGTCATTATTTGTATGAGAATTGAATTTGAATATAAAAGCAAACTTTAAATGTAGAAAATATAACAGTTTCATTTTATTTACCAGTAGAAATAACCAGTATGACCATTTATTGACCAGTATGAAAATCTTATCATTTTGCTTTTAGTCTCTTTTATTATTGTCATTTACTTTTTAATGTGTGTTTTGTTACATAATTAATTAACAAGTAATTTAGTAAATTCATTTTGTATTTCAATACAGTATTTGTTTGGTTAATATACTTTAGTTTATAAAGAATTTAATAATTGAAAGTTATTTATCACAGTTTATCATGAGTTATTAAGACATTAGTTATTTTGTTTGCCTCCCTACTCCTATGTCTAGTAGTGTTGCCAACTCTAAGAATTTTCACCCTGGAGATTTACATAAATTCAACCCCAATTTCCTGGAGAATCCTGGAGAAATAGTTTATTAATTTAAATTAACAGAAAATATTTATTTATGAAGATTTTAATGTATTAATTCGAAACAAGTGAATTTATATAAATTAAATTAATTGTAATTTAATTAAGTTGTAATGTAATAAAAGTTCATTTTTAATAATTGTTTACTAAATTAACCCTTTTAAATTTTTAATATTTATTGAAAACTATAGTAAAATAGATCTGAAACTTTTATAATTTAGAATATTTTATGTTTTTATGCTATCATTTGTTATATTAAATAGTGATATTAAATTATTTTTATCACTCGGACTACATTATGTTCTGTTTATATTATTTTAACTATACTATAGCATTATTATTAAATTATTTATTTGTTAACATTTCTATTTTATCAATACATTGTAATCTTATAATTTCATTAAGTATAATTTTTAGGTTTAAAATAATGGATAAATGTCTCATTAAAACTATTAGTTATTAATTTAACTCTGTAGTAAAATTATTTAGTTTAGAGTATCAAGAGTAACTATTTATTATACAAAAGTGATATAATCTTATAAGAAACATGTTTAAAGTGTTATGAATTTTTTCCTGGAGTTCCCCATATCCAGGGCAGACCTCAAACTGAAGTCTGAGTCGAATACCCGATTCCTGGAGACTTCAGGCAAAAACTGGAGGGTTGGCAACACTATTTATGGATAGTAATAATTGTTAAGAATTTTATTCCAACATTATTATATCTCATACAGAAAAATAGTGAATTGAAAAGACTAAAAGATGAACATGGTCTACTCTTAAATTTCTCAAATATTTTAATGTTGAAATGAAATCACTATTATCTAACGGCGCTGTAAATTAACAAATCTTTAAAATTGTGGTTAAATAGTGAATTGAATGCAATGTATTTTGTTTCTACCCCTCGTTTCTATAATTGTCTAAGAGTTTGATTCACTAGTCAGTGAGATAACCGGCCTATATCAAGAGTAACTATTTATTATACAAAAGTGATATAATCTTATAAGAAACATGTTTAAAGTGTTATGAATTATTTCCTGGAGTTCCCCATTACCAGGGCTGACCTCAAACTCAAGTCTGAGTCGAACACCCGATTCCTGGAGACTTCAGGCAAAAACTGGAGGGTTGGCAACACTAATGTCTAGTGATGGAAAACAAGGCAACATTTTCGTTAAACATTTGTTAACTTTTTAAAAAGTTTAATAGAAATCCAATGAAATTAATATTTTAACATTTTAAGATATTATTTTGAATATATTGTTCTATTACTATAGTATTAACTAGTATATTATTATTATATATTATAATAGTGTACTATTGTTAATATTGTGATTTATAATTTGATATGTATTTATTAAACAAAATGGCGACAATGATTTCTATAAGTAATTCTAGATTCTCATAGTAAACCAATACAACCACGTTTTATTAAAATCTTAATTTTATATTACTCATTGTAATAATTGTTGCTGTTTTATATAATAAGTCCACATTTGATTTAATAGCATAGACTTAATTCCATAGAGTGTAGACATTAAATGTAATTAATAAATCTAATGAATAAGTACATAGTTGAGTTGACATTGTGATAATATCATTAATTTAAGTGCATTCAAAGTTCATTCAAAGTGCATTAAAAGTGCATTAATAACATTATTAATAGGTCTGCCAACGATTTTCGGGGCTCAGGGGGACAAGTAGTCTAAATTGAGATAAATTTGTCGGACATTAGGGTAATTGAAAATTAAAAAATATGTTTAATTATTAAATGTCTATAAACTCTACCACCTCCTGACCACATCATAATTTAAACTGAATTGCAATTCCCGTTCACAACACTACTTATGTACTCAAAAACGATTACAAATAAAACAGTTATAATACATGTACTTTACTGTACTAAAGTATGTTTAATGAAATGTTTATTAAAAGTCTGTATTTAGTCTTATCACAGATTAATATTCAATCCATTGATAATACTGTATCACTAAAGTACAGGGCAGTGCATTTAAGATACTCAGCTATAAATTAGTATATTTTTAAAAACTTACAACATTTCAATATATCGTTATCACCAATATCAATCAATAATTTAAGAAAATCAGTAAACAAAAATCATTAGAAAAGATTTTAATTTAATATTTTTGTCTAACAGTAAAAGGTTTATCTGATAACAATCCTTTGGCAAAGGTAAGGGTTGATTAGGTTTTTGATTTTAAAGTTATATTGACTTAATCCTTTGTTTTTGCTCGAGAATTAATAGGAGATAAGACTTTTAATGTTTGACAAAATTATTAAACAAACACATAGTATTGATATGTTGTAAGTTTTTAAAAATATACTAATTTATAGCTGAGTATCTTAAATGCACTGCCCTGTACAGTACATAACATTTGATAAGCTACAGCATTTAATAACAAACAGTTACTAATGCACTCAGTATTTGGATAATAACATTAATATCTGATAAGTAATTAGTAGTCCGTAAAAATAAAACTATAAAAAGATTTGCATGTAATGCAAACTGTATATAACTCGGACAAGTTTGAATTATAATAATTCTTAAGTGATGTCTAACAAAACCGTGCTATTTACCCCTGCTCAGTATGTGGGCACTGTGAACCCCAATATAGGTATGGCTGAGGTATTGCGAGACACCGGTCGATACCACTGTGTGTTTGCGGTGACCAACGATTGGAAGTCACGGCTCGAGTCCATTGGGTTTGAGGTGAGACTTATTGGACAACCGGTGGCCAGGGATGCGACAACTAATCGGATGGGATCGGCTGAAAGTAATTATAAAGAGATTGAGGTGTCGGGAGTGTTAGAAAACACCACTCAATTGGAAAATGCCATTCGTGCCAATGAGTGGGCCGTAAACTTGGGTCTCAAAGAGATTACAGAAACGGATCCATTGGTTAAGGCTATTATAGAGGACCTGAAACCTGATGTCATAATAAGTGACCTGCTCATTCAATTACCATCTATATACACATCTGGGATACCCTGGATATTCAGTTGGAGTGCTAATCCATTGTCATTAAACTACGGTTACCCGGATGACATACTTCCACCAGCATTCTTAGGTATGGATTGAAACCATTGTATACAAAATAATTGAATATTTATTCGTTTATAAGGATTGCCGACAAATAGTGGGACAGAAGTGAAGGAGAAATACAGACAACAAGTGTGGGAAAGAAGTCGTGAAAAGGTATGGATTGAAACCATTGTATACAAAATAATTGAATATTTATTCGTTTATAAGGATTGCCGACAAATAGTGGGACAGAAGTGAAGGAGAAATACAGACAACAAGTGTGGGAAAGAAGTCGTGAAAAGTGGTATAAATATAGGGATCAATTGGTTTCTATGGGATGTCCCAAACTTCAGGAATTCCTAATCTGGACCCCTTCCCCATACGCTAACATTTATATGACACCTAAAGAACTGGATTATACGGACATCAGACCACTTCCCGACAATTTCCATGGATTTGATAATTTTAAACGAACCGAAAATGAAGACACGTTTGAAATCCCCGAATGTCTTAAGAATAGATCCGGAAAACTGATTTATCTATCGTTGGGATCCATTGGATCCGGAAATGCAGAGCTTATGAAGAGATTGGTTGCGATTTTGTCCAAATCTAAGCACCGGTTCATTGTCTCCAAAGGTGTCAATCACGAGAAGTACTCGTTGGCGGACAATATGTGGGGCGAGAGGTCTGTCCCTCAGGTGAAAGTGTTGTCAGTCGTAGACCTAATGATAACACACGGCGGCAACAATTCTGTGACGGAAACCATGTATTTCGGGAAACCTATGGTTGTCTTACCACTGTTTGGGGATCAATACGATAACGCACAGAGAGTTCAAGAAAAGGGGTTTGGGATTAGACTCAATCCCTACGAGTGCTCTGAAAATGAATTATTGGATTCAATCGACAGACTATTAAACGACGAAATATTGGCCCAAAAGTTGGCAAAAGTTTCGCAAAGAATTCAAAGCGAAAGGAATATCGAAAAACTCGTCAAAATAG